GCCACGGCACTCACTCTAGCCTGGGCAACAAAGCGAGACTCTGTCTTAAAAAATAAAAAAAATAAATAAAACAATTCTATGGTAGAAGAATTATTAAGTGCATCCTCTGTGACTCCACTGGGAGAGGACTCTGGAAAACCTGTACCTGGTTTCCTCTGGACTTTTCCCTTTGATGGTTTTGCTTTGTGTCTTTTGCTGTAATAAATCACAGCCATGAGTACCACTGTATGCCGAGTCCTGGGAGTCCTCCTAATGAACCACCAAACCTGGGTGTGATCTTGGGGACCCTTGACATACTGGTTTATAACTTTCCCCTAAAACTGTCTACCACTGGGTCTTCTCTTCTGGCAGAACTGGGCTGAGTGGGTCCCATTGCAGTTTGGTTTGTTTTTGGGTGATCCTTGCTGGGGTGTAGGGGGTCATAACGTGGTTTGAAGAGCATAAGACCTTGTGTTGGAGCTGGGGGTTTGGGACTCTATTCTGCTACTTTGACCGTGGACCAAGCTCTCCTGGATGTATGTCTGTTCATTTGCAAGAGAAGCGGAGTAGGTTTGATAGCTCAGAGGGCCCTTCTTGGCTTAAGGAGTCCTGAAATTTCACTTTCTGCCAGCAACTGGTATCCTTCTCTCAGTTATAATGGAAGGTTGGAGCTGAGGCAACAGGAAAGACTGGGGATGGGTGCAGATGGAGAGTGGGGACGACCATCTCCATTCTGGCTACCATTCCGAGTTCTCATCCTGATTCCTGGTAAGGTAATTGTGAGGTGATTGGGAGCCATGCCTTATGAGAAGCTGAGCTTACTTAGCCTGGCAAAGCCAAGACAGTGAAAGGCGGAGGATCCTGGCTAAAGAGGTGGCATGAGGCAGGGTTTTGCAAGGTCTCTAGGGATAAGAAAAGGACCATTGGGCCTGTAAGCCTAGCACTCTGGGAGGCTGAGGTGGGTGGATTGCTCAAGGTCAGAAGTTCGAAACCAGCCTGAGCAAGAGCAAGAAAGAAATTAATTGGCCAACAAATATTTATAGAAAAAATGAGCCGGGCATGGTGGTGCATGCCTACAGTCCCAGCTACTCAGGAGGCTGAGGCAGAAGGATTGCTTGAGCCCAGGAGTTTGAGTTTGCTGTGACCTATGCTGATGCCAAAGCAACTCACTCTAGCCTGGGCAACAAAGTGAGACTCTTGTCTCAAAAAAAAAAAAAAAAAAGAAAGAAAGAAAGAAAGAAAAGGACCATTGGATAGAACTTCTACAGAAGCAGATTTCAGGTGAATATAATGGAGTATGAAGGCTGTCTAACCTAAGTATAAGGGTGACATAATCTGGCATGGAGGTAGTGAGGCCCCATTAATTCCAGATGTTTGAGCTGAGAGAGGAGTATTATTCAGCACAGATTCAAGCATAAGACAGGGTGTTGGATTGGGTGGCTGTGCTGGGCACCAGTCAGAAGGAATGTGCTCTGACCTTCGGCGCCTCAGCCTGTTCCCAGAGAGTTTCTTCACTGCTTCTGAAATTTGGTGAAACCCCAGGGACTTCAAGGAAGTCTGGCCTGGAAGAGAACAGGGGTGAGGTCTCCATGCCTGGTCCCAGGGATGAGGGCAGACAGCAGCACAGTGTTCCCGGCATTGGTTACTTCAGGGCCGAACTCTGCAAAATGGCACAATCTGGGGAATATGGTCCTGCTCTAGGTCCCCACTTTCTAGGGTACATGGTGTAACTCCATGAGAAGTTTATGTCACTGGATTTCTCCATCAGGGAGATTTTTATGCCCAGCCTTCTCAACTGTGGGATAGAAAGTTTTTGTTCTTTGTTAAATGAATTTCAATGTTCTCCCTGTACCAGGTGCAGGGAGGTGCATCTAGTGGTTACAGTGACCAGATTTTCTGAATCAAAAATCAAGACACATGGTTTTGATGTGATCTTACAATAGCACAGGATATTTAAAATAGGGCCTGCTCAGGAAAATCCCAGGGTGCAGGGTTATTACACTTTGGTTGTTTAGCTGTGTATGTTCTCCTTGGAGTCCAACACTTGCTTTTTCCATCAAGGCAGACTTCCTGGAGCCAGCTGTGTGCAATTACACTTACCTGTTCCTGCTCAGAGGCACTGGGCCAGTACTGCTGTGGTTTCCCACAAAACCCTTAATTGCCTGTCACATTTCTCTCCATTTAAAAAACGTGACATAAACACTGAGATAAATGAGTCATGTTGAGTTAGTCTGTTTTGGATGTGGCCTTCTTTGGGTGTGCCTGCTTCTGAGGACCTGGACAGCTGCCTGCATGTTTTAAGGATGAGATAGTAATAGTAGAAAGACTACTTCATTGCAGATCAAGAGGTTGAGTTTTGTCCTGCTTTGCCGCTGACTCACTCTGTAGTTCTGGGCAAGCTCCTTCCCTGAGTCTCATTATCTTCCTAGGGCGGATGAAGGGGCACCTCAGGAATGTGTTTGGCTGTACACAACAGAAAATTAACTATACAGGGTTTGGGGTTTATTTTTCTCACATAACAAGAAGTCCTGAAGTAGGTACTAGGGCTGGTGTGGTGGCTCTACGATGTTAACAAGGATGAATCGATTTATTTTTTCTTTCTTCTTCTTCTTTTTTAAACAATGTAAAGACTTATAAAATCATGTGTAACCTAAGGCAAAATTATTTGAAGTCAATAAATTTCTGTTCAAGAAATATCACATTGTGATTGCTTCCACTGTCCACCAAGATCACGTTAATTCCTCTTAAAGCTGGAGTCAAGATAGCCCCTTTTAATATGCCTAATCCCCAGTTGTCCTATTGGCCCTGCATAACAATAATATACAAGCAAGTTTACAGTTTCAGAGATGATCATATGGTGAGTCACAGATGAGTCCTGGAGCCAGCCTCCCTGAGTTAGCTCTACTCCATGCAAACTGTCTGGTTATTAGCCACCCAGAGGGTTTGCAATGTGAATTAGCTAGGCAAAACCCATTTGCAAGGCTCAAGAGATCTAGGCATGCACTACGTGTACGGTTAGTGAGAATTTATTTGAAATGTGGCTGTTGTAAAATCTCACTGATTACCAATGAAATAGCTATTAGAAAATCACATGTGGGCCGGGCGTGGTGGCTCATGCCTGTAATCCTAGCACTCTGGGAGGCCGAGGCGGGTGGATCGCTTGAGGTCAGGAGTTTGAAACCAGCCTGAGCGAGACCCCATCTCTACGAAAGAAAATAGAAAGAAATTAATTGACCAACTAAAAATATATATACAAAAACAAAAAAAAAAATTAGCCGAGTGTGGTGGCACATGCCTGTAGTCCCAGCTACTCGGGAGGCTGAGGCAGCAGGATCGCTTGAGCCCAGGAGTGTGAGGTTGCTGTGAGCTATGCTGATGCCATGGCACTCACTCTAGCCTGGACAACAAAGCGAGACTCTGTCTCAAAAAAAAAAAAAAAAAAGAGAATACGGGGACGCAAATCATTTTAGCCGGACTCATTGCCTCTCAGAATAAACCTGGGGTTCTGTTGACAAGTGTTTCAGTGATCTTTTGCTGCATAACAAACCATCTGCAAGCTTAATGGTTTAAAAAATATATCCGGCCGGGCGTGGTGGCTCACGCCTGTAATCCTAGCACTCTGGGAGGCTGAGGCGGGCGGTGCTTGAGGTCAGGAGTTCGACCCAGCCTGAGCAAGAGCAAGACCCCATCTCTACTATAAATAGAAACAATTTTGCCAACTAAATATAAGAAAAATTAGCCGGGCATGGTGGCGCATGCCTGTAGTCCCAGATGCTTGGGAGCTGAGGCAGCAGGATGCTTGACCCAGGAGTTTGAGGGTTGCTGTGAGCTAGGCTGACGCCACGGCACTCACTCTAGCCTGGACAACAAAACGAGATCTGTCTCAAAAAAAAAAATATATATATATAATTTACATATATATTTTATACATATATATATAATAATATATATATATATATATCCTTTCTCACTGTGTGTGGGTTGCCTGGGCTTAGCTAGGCGGTTTATATACCCACATGGTATAGATGAGGTTACTCATTTGGCTATATTCAGCTGGAGGTCAGTGGGGGGCTTGTCTGGAGCTGGGATGTCCAGATTGGCCTCTCCTCCTCCAGTTTCTCTCTCCATGGGGCATCTCAGCATTCCATATTCTAGCCCATGCTGCTTTACAGCATGGTGGTCGGCTTCTAAGGAGGACTATTCTGAGAGGACAAGCCCAATATGCAAGTGCTTATTAACCCTCTGCCTGTGTCACACTTGCTAATGTCCCATTGGTCAAAGTTAGTCATATGGTCAAGCCAGAGTCAATATGGAAGGGAACTACACAAGGGTATGAATCGCAGGAGGTGTAGTTCATTGGGGGCCAGGATTGTAAATGTCTGCCACAATAAGAAAGAAGGGGCCGGGCACGGTGGCTCACGCCTGTAATCCTAGCACTCTGGGAGGCCGAGGCGGGCGGATTGCTCAAGGTCAGGAGTTTGAAACCAGCCTGAGCAAGAGCGAGACCCCGTCTCTACTACAAACAGAAAGAAATTAATTGGCCAACTAATATATATAGAAAAAATTAGCAGGGCATGGTGGCGCATGCCTGTAGTCCCAGCTACTCGGGAGGCTGAGGCAGTAGGATTGCTTGAACCCAGGAGTCTGAGGTTGCTATGAGCTATGCTGATGCCACAACACTCACTCTAGCCCAGGCAACAGAGTGAGACTCTGTCTCAAAAAAAAAATAAATAAATAAAAAAGAAAGAAAGAAGGGAGAATGAACATGGAGTTGGCAATTTGTATGTTTGGCACAGTGGGTTAGACTCAAATTGCGAGTCCCAAAATCAGTTTAGTAGTTTATGGCCAGCATTAGAAAAAGAGAAAAAGAATATAATATATCAGGGCGCATTGCATATACGTGATGCATGTATATATGTACATTTAAAAATATATATGTTAACATACACATGGGACACAATGAGAAATATATTTCATGTTCGGAAGCACTTCTGAGCTCTAATGCTTCGATTCTATGGCAGCGTTTGGTGGTGAATGTCCTGCTGACCCCCTTCCGTGTGAGGAGCTGTGTGATGGGGACACGTCCTGTCCTCAGGGGCATAAATGCTGCAGCACTGGCTGTGGCCACGTCTGCCGTGGAGACATTAAGGGAGGTATGTTTGCTCTTGTGGGATGAAGTCCTGGAGCACTTCCTAAGTCCCATCAAGGAGCCACCCATGGTGCCTTCTCTTTCCCTTCCTGGGAGGGGCCAGAATTCTCATCCTTCCTGTTCCTCTAGTCCCTCAACCCAAAGCAACCCCTCTGATTAGGGCCAAGGGACCCACAGTGGCATTGAAAGACACAGGCAGAAGCAGCATGGGGCAGTAGGGAAGACCCTTGGGCTGGACAACAGGCAGTGTGGCTTTTGTTCTTGACTCTGCTGCAAATTTGCTCTGTAGTCTTTTTTTTTTTTTTTTTTTTTTTTTGAGACAGAGTCTCACTCTGGTGCTGGGGCTAGATTGCCGTGGCATCAGCCTAGCTCACAGCAACCTCAAACTCCTGGGCTCAAGTGATCCTTCTGCCTCAGCCTCCCAAGTAGCTGGGACTACAGGCATGTACCACCATGCCTGGCTAATTTTTTCTACATATTTTTAGTTGTCCAGCTAATTTCTTTCTCTATTTTTAGTAGGGATAGGATCTTGCTCTTGCTCAGGCTGGTCTTGAACTCCTGAGCTCAAATGATTCACCCGCCTCGGCCTCCCAGAGTGCCAGGATTCCAGGTGTGAGCCACCACGCCAGGCCTTGCTCTGTAATCTTGAATAAACAGGTCCCTCGTTGAGCCCAAGTTTCTTCATCTATAAAATGAAGGAGTTGCCCAAGATCACTAGTTTTCAGACTTAGTTTTTTAGCACAAAGCTTTTCCCCTACCCTAAATGTAATCTTAGTTGGAAGCAACATATATGTAACAGATAAAAGCGTTCCTGTTTCGATTTCTTTGTTTCTTCAATTAAAAAAAGTATATTTTTGAGTGCTACTTTTGTGTCAGGCACTATGGAACTCAACTGAAGAATTATTGACCCAGATGTTATCTTTTTTTTAAATTTATTTTTATTTCAGGATATTATGAGGGCACAAACATTTTGGTTACATTTTATGTCTTCTTAATCCTCCTTTAGATTGCAAGGCAATGATCAAGGTGCTGGGGACAGACCCTTGTCTTTATGTAACTTTAGTCTATCAGGGAAGATAGACAATTAAATAATGAATTATGATAAAGTTTGATGAGAGGAGACGTGCAGAGTGCCAAGGTGCACAAGGCAGGTGCACCAAGCTCATCTGGGTGGCAGAGAAGACCTTGGGGAAGTGACACAGTGAAGCCTAAGCACAGAAGGAGAAGGTGGTGGCCTGGGAGCCTTGCCCATTCTGCACCCCACCCAGCCCCATCCCCAAACCTGCAGGGCTATTAACCCCTGAGTTACCTCTAGTGAACTCCCTTTGGGGCACTGTTGGAAAACTCTTGGCTTAGAGGCCTCTTGGTTCCTTACAGATTCTCAGATCCTCCAGCTTCATGGGTTCCCAGCCAGTTTGGCTAAGGTCTAGTTAGGGTCAGGGATTGAATCACCTGGAGCTTCTGTGTCTAAGTTCTAGATGTTCTAGATAGGAACTTGGAGACAGTGGAGCCCACAGACATCCTGTCCCTATACCAGTGCCTGTTTTTCCCGCAGGGCGGGGTGGTGAATGTCCAAAAGTTCTGGTTGGCTTGTGCATTGTCAGCTGCATGATGGACGAGAACTGTCAAGCCGGGGAAAAGTGTTGCAAGTCAGGCTGTGGCCGCTTCTGTGTCTCGCCAGTCCCGCCACCCAAACTGACCATGAACCCCAACTGGACCATCAGGTCTGATTCTGCATTAGGTGAGTATAGTTCGTTGTTATTAATTGCTATGTGCAAAGCGCTGGCCTAGGTGCTGGGAAGGGGACTTTTGAAGGTCAAGAAGAGTCTATCTGGAGAGCAGGATTCTATGTCACAGATCAGAACCCTCATACAAGCTGTATGGGCTTACAGAAGTTCAGAGTGGGTGGTCCCTGGGAAAGTCTTTTTGATAGAGATGGGATTTGATCTGGGCCCTAAAGGCTGGGCAGATGTGTTAAAGTGAAGATAGCACAGAGAACATGCCAGACAGGTAATCTGGTGATTGTTAATCTATGGCACAGAGGGTGGGAATGTATGTGACATGTTTTGGGAGTGGGAGATCAGGGGAGAGTGGGTAAAGGAACAGACATAACCCTGTTTTTTGTAACAGGAAATATAAGGTTGACAACTGAATAAAAGTCTTTAATGCCTATTTGGATTGGATTGTCTAGGAAGAAGGGAGCCATTTGAGGCTTTTGAGAGCAACATATGGCAAGCTTCTCTAGGGTGGAGGGGAAAGAACACACGTTGAGTAGCTGGAGCAAGGGGAGCACAGTTGACTTGATATTTCTTCTGCTTGCAGAGATCCCAGTGCCCTAGCTGTACTGATTTGCAACCAAGAGGGGTGACATCCTGGGGCTTGTGACACTCTCAGGAGCACTCATGGCCCTTTCTGCTCTGCTTTTTCTCCTGCTGCTGCCTGCGGCATAGGAAACAGCCCTGGGATCGGGCAGTGGGTGTGCCGTGCTTCTCTTCCCCAATAAAGGCTGGTGCTGACTCTCTGGTCTGTGCTGTTTGAGGGCTCGGATGAGACAGGACAGCTGGGACGTCTGAGTGTGGCTGTAGAGTTGTCAGACTTACATATTTAGGAAGCATGGGTAACCCATTCTTTCTGAGAACACTGAAAATGGGTGTTGGTTAGGTGTGGCCAGGGGAGAGAGGGGTAGAAGCTAAACTGGGGGTGACTTGCCATAGATATCTTTCTCAAGTCCTGTGTTAGGGGTGGGAGTCAGTCTTTCTTTCTGGGCCTGCTGAACTTCCTTTTCTTATTGGAGAATATGGGTTGGGAGTGGAACAGGAGTTGGGTGCTGGAATGTTCCCACCTTGGACCTTTTTCCTTTTTTTTTTTTTGAGAGAGAGTCTTGCTTTGTTGCCCAGGCTAGAGTGAGTGCCTTGGCATCAGCCTAGCTCACAGCAACCTCAAACTCCTCGGCTCAAGCAATCTTGCTGCCTCAGCCTCCCGAGTAGCTGGGACTACAAGCATGTGCCACCATGCCCGGCCAATTTTTTCTATATATATTAGTTGGCCAATTAATTTCTTTCTATTTATAGTAGAGACGGGGTCTCGCTCTTGCTCAGGCTGTTTTCGAACTCCTGACCTCAAGCAATCCACCTGCCTTGGCCTCCCAGAGTGCTAGAATTACAGGCATGAGCCACCATGCCGGCCTAGACCTTTTTTCTTGAGGGCCTGCCCTTGGCTCTAAGACAAGCAATTTGTCCCTTCCAGGTATCTTTATGCAGGGAAGGGACATCCCTAGGTTCTTGGAACAAAGGCAATTTTTAAAATTTATTTCTTATGTACACAAAATGGATTGTATTTTATATCTTGGAGATCTTTCATGTTATCACATATATTCTTTTTTGTTTTTGAGACAGAGTCTGGCTTTGTTGCCCAGGCTAGAGTGCCATGGTGTCAGCCTAGCTCACAGCAACCTCAAACTCCTGGGCTCTAGCAATCCTCCTTCCTCAGTCTCCCGAGTAGCTGGGACTACAGGCATGTGCCACCATGCCCAGCTAATTTTTTCGAACTCCTGACCTTGAGCAATCCGCCCGCCTTGGCCTCCCAGAGTGCTAGGATTACAGGCGTGAGCCACCTCGCCTGGCCTAATTTTTTCTATATATATATTTTTAGTTGTCCAGATAATTTCTTTCTATATTTAGTAGAGATGAGGTCTCACTCTTGCTCAGGCTGGTCTCAAACTCCTGACCTTGGGCGATCCTTCCCCATCGGCATCCCAAAGTGCTAGGATTACAGACGTGAACCATCACACCTGGCCCCATGTATGTTCTTTTATTATTTATTTAAAAATTTTATCAATCCTGTTCCTTTTACATATATACTCTTTCAATATAATTCTATGAAAGGGATAATTTAGTACTCATCTCTTGTTGGATACTTAAAATGTTTTTATTTTTATTAAAAAAATTTTTTTAGAGACAGGGTCTCACTCTGTCACCCAGGATGAAGAATAGTGACACAGTCATAGCTCACTGCAGCCTTGAACTTCTGGGCTCAAGAATTCTTCCACCTCAGGCTTCCCAGTTAGCTGGGACTACAGTCATGTGCCATCATGCCTGGCTATTTAAAAATTTTTTGTAGAGATGGGGTCTTGCTGTGTTGCTCAGCCTGGTCTTGAATTCCTGGCCTCAAGCGATCCTCCCACCTTGGCCTCCCAAAGCACTGGAATTACAGGTGTGAGCCACTATGCCTGGCCTTGTTGGACATTAATATCCTTGTACATATATATCTTGGCCTATATTTGCAGGTGAATCTGGGTAAATTTTTAGTAGTAGAAGTCCAGTTTCTTAAGTAGGGCCTGGTAAAAAATATTTGTCTTTGCCCAGTAAATATTTGTTGAATGAATGAAAGAATGAATGTAATTCCTTAATGTATCAATTAAGAATTCCTTGGGCTGCAAGTAATAGGCAACCCAACTCATGGTGGCCTGGCCAACAAAGACATTTAATTTTCTCACATTGGAGGGTATGGCTGGCTCAGCAGCTCAACCACGACCCCGACAACCAGGCTCATTCCTTCCTTCTCCATCAGCCTCAAGGTGTTGGCTTTTGTTCTTGTGCTATTCACCTGGTGGGTACAGGATGGTTGCTGCAGCTCTAGATGTCACTGCAGGAAGAGGATGTGTGTAGAGGTCAGTGGCAAAAGACCTTTACCTCAAATGACACTCTACTTTTAATGACTTCTTTCCTAGGAGTTGCCTTAGGGTGGCTGAGAAAACAAATATCTGCAGAAGGTAATGGGAAACCTGGCTTAGGTTAATCATGCTTCATCCCTGGGGCTCTGGGATGGGCCTACTTGGACATAGAAGTTGAGGTTCTATTAGCAAGGAAAAAGGAAAGGATGCTTTTGGGGTAGGTAGGCAGTAAATTGCCTACCCCATACTTGCTCAAAAAGCTTATGCATTTAAAATTTGGATGGAGAATACCTAGGTAGGCATTGCTTTTATAAAAAGGAAAAAAGTAGGTAGCAGTATTCTTGAATATCATAAAAGTGCTTTAATGGAAGAAGGTGAGCTATGACTTTAAAACATTCAACCCCCCCATTTCCTGTCACTACTTTATTTTTCCGTCCTGCCCCCTTCCCTGCCTCTGATTTCACACTGGCTTGGGAAATTCTGGTTTCTGCTGGGTTCAGAACAGTGATCTCTCTGAGCAGACATATCAGTGTTGCTTGGAAAACAGTGGCTGGCATGAGCCTCGCAGTGACCACCCCGAGGACATCGTGGCCCTAGGCTCATGTTGCAGGGAAGGGCCAGTATCAGTGTGATGAACTGCTGAACATTTTGGCAGATCCCTTTCCACTGTTTTGCTTCTCATTTCATTGTCTATTAAAAAATCAAAATATTAATAATACATGCACGTGGTTTAAAAAAATCAATATGGTAGAGCTTTCAATGAAAAAACAACACCTTAAAATACTAAAGGATAGGCCAGGCGTGGTGGCTCACGCCTGTAATCCTAGCACTCTGGGAGGCCGAGGCGGGCGGATTGCTCAAGGTCGGGAGTTCTAAATCAGCCTGAGCAAGAGCGAGACCCCGTCTCTACTATAAATAAAAAGAAATTTTTTTTTTTTATTCCTTTATTTTTTTTTTTTTTCCATTTTCAGTTGGCCAATTAACGTTTTTTTTTTTTTTTTTATTTTTAGTAGAGACGGGGTCTCGGCTCTTGCTCAGGCTGGTCTTGAACTTCTGAGCTCCAACGATCCACCCGCCTCGGCCTCCCAAAGAGCTAGGATTACAGGCGTGAGCCACAGCGCCCGGCCAATAAAAAGAAATTAATTGGCCAACTAATATATATAGAAAAAGTTAGCCGGGCGTGGTGGCGCATGCCTGTAGTCCCAGCTACTTGGGAGGCTGAGGCAGCAGGATTGCTTGAGCCCAGGAGTTTGAGGTTGCTGTGAGCTAGGCTGATGCCACGGCACTCACTCTAGCCTGGGCAACAAAGCGAGACTCTGTCTCAAAAAAAAAAAACAACCAAAAAAACCAAACAACAACAACAACAAAACTAGAGGATGGTTTTCTCTCAGAGTGGAGAGTGGGACCAGAGAGGGAGGAGTGAGCCCCAGGACAGGGACCCCCTCCGACCTCCCTTCTTCTCTGGAGCAGCCCACTCTGTCCAGGTGGGAGATTCGGACCTGCTTCCAGGTAGCAATGTCGAGAGAGCCAGAGAGAGGGAGAGAGAGAATGTTGAAGGGTTAAATTTGAAGGTCAAGGTTTGATATGGGGCCAAATTCCAGGACTTGCCCCTACCCCCAGGCCTTTCTGGGCAGCTTTCTCTACAGTTGTCCCCTAAACCAATGAAGCCATCGGAACTCTTCTTCCCTCAGAGCTTAAGTGCATTTCAGCCTTAGTTCTGGGGAGCAGGTCTCGGTGGACCCTGGTCCTACTCTCTAACCTCGCATCCTGAAAGTCGCCTCTGACCAGGCTGAAAAGCTACACTCCTCCCCTTCCCTGATCCTCAGCTTCTTCACAGTGGGCAGGGATGTCTGGGGCTCTGCCACTGGCCAGTCCTCCAGCGTGGGCTGACCACGACCTGTCCTTTGACCAGAGCCAGGGGGTCTCACAGCTCCTCCCTTCTCCGCCCCTCTCCTTGACCACCCGGTTGTAGAAATCCCGGACTCCCTCCGTTCCCCCAGCCGCGGCAATGCCACGGGCCCCTGCAGCTTCTCCCGGCTGCAGCCTGGATCTCACTGCTCCCCCTGGTGGGGCATAATGTCATTGGCAAGTAAGGTCCGCGGCGTGAGAAAGCTGGGAGGCTCAGCATGCACCCCGGCAGGGGGGCTGCTTTTGAGTTGAGGACTTTCTTCCCTTCACTAGCCAGGTTAAGCCATCTTGTCAAAGGGATTGGGGCAGAGAAGATCAGCTTCACACAGATCCACATATTTAAGAATGAAGGAGCAAGCCCCCACGGGCGTGGAAAGAATTCTTTGCTGGGCACTTTATTCTCAGAGCCACCAGAGGGCAGCAGAAGTCCATTTCCAGGGAAGAGAAATGACATTCCAGAAGTGAACTTAGAGGAAAAGTTTTCTACCTATTGTCTGAGTTCCTGGGTCCCTGCCGAATTGCACTTAATACGTTAAGACCTAACATTATGCCCTCCTTTTTCATTTGATGCGGCATGCTTCTTCCTTTCTGGCAACGTGTATCTGGAGGACATTGTCTATCATGTTGTATCTATCGTTGTTTCTCTCTCAAGGCCACAGGGTCAAATTCCTTGTGGAACTTAAGGTCAAGAGAAAGCTTCTCTCTGCGAACTAACGTGAGAATGAGCAGGGAAGCAACCTACTGGGCATCGCCTGTCTCATCAGCCTCCGCAGTACGTGCTCTCTAGAGCTGATGGTTTCATTCTTGCGTTGGCTATCAAGATACCCAGAGCCTGGGTTTGGGAGGAAGGCCTAGGTTTGAATCTAAACTCTTCTGCTGCTTATTACCTCTCTGCAAAATGGGGCCAATAGCATGACCACACTATCTCCCTCGCAGTATTGCTGTGAGGACTCAATATATAAAGGAAACACTTAGCACGGGGCCTGGCACAAAACCCACTCTCAATAAATGTTAACTACAGGTCTGGTGTGGTGGCTCACGCCTGTAATCCTAGCACTCTGGGAGGCTGAGGTGGGCAGATCGCTCAAGGTCAGGAGTTCGAAACCAGCCTGAGCAAGATCAAGACCCCCGTCTCTACTAAAAATAGAAAGAAATTAATTGGCCAACTAAAAACATATAGAAAAAATTAGCCAGGCATGGTGGCACATGCTTGTAGTCCCAGCTACTTGGGAGGCTGAGGCAGGAGGATTGCTTGAGCTCAGGAGTTTGAGGTTGCTGTGAGCTAGGCTGATGCCATGGCACTCTAGCCGGGGCAACAGAGTGAGACTCTGTCTCAAAAACAAAAGCAAAAAAAAAAAAAATGTTAACTATTGTTATTCAGTTTCTCTGATAAAGTTAACTATTGTTATTCAGTTTCTCTGATAAAGTTAATTGCTTCCTGCCACATTCTTTTTTTATTTTTTATTTATTTATTTTTTTGAGACAGAATCTCACTCTGTTGCCCGGGCTAGAGTGCCATGGCATCAGCCTAGACGGGGGTCTACCTCTTTCTCAGGGTGGTCTAATGCCCTAAGGCAGTTACTTTTTATATTTTGTTGAGATATTATAATTTTAACTTGTGGAATAGCTGGTCTGATATAAACTATTTTGCCATTACCAGAACTAGAATTCTTTGAATTTTCGTTTAAAAACATTCCTTTCCTTTTTGAAACCCTCTTTTCTTAGGTCAGGGTTGAACTAGATGATCTTTTAGGTCACTTTCTGCTTTTAATATCCATGATACTGACAAAAAGATTAGCAAAGTTGAGATAAAAGTACAGTATGAGCAATAATATGAGGCTGACACGAGGAGCTTGGATATTGTATAGAATTAGGATTTTAGGACACTGCACGTCCTAGATCAAGGGCCTGAAAAATAGAAATGGCACTTGAGGACAATTATTCATTCTGGGAACAGCAGGTAGAATTAAAGAGGTTTGGAAATGGTCAGAACATGAATGAGTCTGATGAGAAGGCTCTGGCAGGTTGGGATTGTGAGGGTGTTGAGAGGGGAAATGATGAGGGGAGAGTGATCCACCAGACCCATTGAGGGCCAGAGTTGGGAAGGATTAGAGGTTTTATCCCAATCTGTTTATTCCCCCACAAGGGATGGAATGGAAGTGTTGGTGGGGAAGATATGAGAGACTTTGTGATGATTGTGAGATTTCTCCATCTTTACATCTTTCAGGACCTGCTCTGCACCCAGATGTGAGGGCAAAATGCGCTGAGTATCCCTTGGATGACAGCCAAACTGTGTGCCACATCCCAAGGTCTGCTCCACCAAATTCTTTGTCTTTGGAGCTCTTGGAACTCCAAAGAATCATTCTTTATTTTTATTTTTTTTTGAGACAGAGTTTCACTCTGTTGCCCGAGCTAGAGTCCTATAGCGTCAGCTTAGCTGACAGCAACCTCAAACTCCTGGGCTCAAACGATCCTCCTGCCTCAGCTTCCTGAGTAGCTGGGACTACAGGTGCCTGCCACCATGCCTGGATAATTTTTCTATTTTTAGTAGAGACAGGGTCTTGCTCAGGCTGGTTCTGAACTTCTGACGTCAAGCAATCCACCTGCCTTGGCCTGCCAGAGCGCTAGGATTACAGGCGTGAGCCACCCTGCCAATGATCTGATAGTAGAGGTTTACCTTGGTTCAAGACTTGTAGCTCCCAGCTGTAAAGTCACAACTTCTATATTTCTGGCACCTGGGACACCAGAGACATTTCTCTAGAATATGAGCATTGTTGGGGATTGAGTGCCCATTAATTTGGGGCAAGTGAAAGAATTTAATGATGATTACTTTGGTGCCTCTTACATGGAAATTCATTGGAGTCAGTGACAAAATGCATAAAAAACCCTCAGTTTTGGTAAATCATGCCAAGGAGATATCAATAATAATAACCTTCACACAAACTGACTCATTACATGGATAGGTTGGTGCCTGCAGAGAGGTCATGTGCAGCTTATGTGGGAAGAATCTAGGATGGGAGAGATGAATGAATTCAGACCAGAGCTGACATACTGGAAATTTTCAGTTAAAATTGTATGAATCAGTACGAAAGGTAAACTTGGGCAAGGAAATTAGAGAGAATGCTGAATTCAAAAATCTTGCAGAAATATTCCAATTTATTTACTCAAGATTACTTTGGCATAGTTTTCCATAGAGAATACTACTTTTTCCTTGTTTCACTCCTTCTCCTTCTTTGGAGCCTCCTTCGCCTGTGGCTCTTTTTCTTGATCCCTGTTAATAAAGTACACTTAGTGATGACTGTGTTCCTTGGTATGGACCCATTGATTGGGTCCTTAACATCTCAGCATAACTTCACAGCTGTCTTTAAAACTAATATTCCTCCTGATCCATAATCTATTCATAAAATATTAATGAGCAAGTATAGTGCTAGACTCTGAGGATATACAAATTTATAAAGTGATGTCTTTGCTCTTGAGTATAAGACCATTGTTTGGCTATCCATTATACATACCAAACCATGATCCTTGTCTTCCCTTGCTCCCCTGACATTCCCACGGCTTTTCTTTTAATCGTTAAACAACAAGGTGTTGGACAGATCTCTGAGTGCTAAGGCCATCATGGTAGTACTGAGATGCCATTGGAGAGCTAGGATCCATGTCCTTCCCCTGAGTAAATCTAGACAAGGCATTAGTCTCTCTGAGCTTGAATTTTCAATTTGAAATGAGGGTCTTGCTATGTTTCCTAGGCTAGTCTCAAACACTGGGCTCAAGCGATCCTCCCACCTCATCCTCCAGAGTAGCTGGGACTACAGGTGCATGCCACTGTGCCAGGCTGGGTTTTAATTTTTACAATTCAAAAGAGTGTTGTTGAATGAAGTGATTCAAGACACTGAAATTTATACCCGTGACTGACTGTCCCTAACGTAGGTATAATTTCTTGCCTCCTTGCCCATTTCCCCTAGTTTATCACATTCTTTTTCCTGAAAAACTATGATCCCTAGTTTTTGGTGTCATTGGGGGTGGGGAGAGGTACTGAGAGACTTACTCTTCATCAACACAATATCTTTCACAGACAAATTTATGTTTAAAGTTGTTTCTGTTGCCTCCACACCCAGAGAAGACGAAGGGCTCACATAAAAATGTCAAAGTGTTGTAGTAGAATCTGGTCCAATAGGATTTACAGGTGCCAAACACTGGAGGATAGTTGCAATATTCTGTGTACGAGAATCCCAAAGTCAGATCTTCTTTGCAGCACTGTTGGCACTCTTTTCCTCATGGGCTCAGACTACTAAAGTTCATCGACCCATGTAAATCCACCTGATTTTGTCATTGGGGAACAAGACAGAGTTCCCTAACCATAAATTTCAAGGTATGTGTGACATAGGGCAATGATTCTAGACTATAGCCTGGGCCAATGACACGGAGAAATTGTTGGAGGAAAACAAGGTAGCTGTACCACCTTAGAGCTGAAAGCTGAAAGACCTGAGGCCCTCTCCAGCCTTCACAGTCTTCCTCCTTCTTAGTAAATGTGTCCCTTCTCCTAACTCTCCATACACTTCCCATGCCACTGGAATTGAAGATCTCATCTGTTCCCACAAGGACATAGCTCAAAGCCCTTGCTTTCACTTCCCACCTTCCCCCTAGCCCAGAGTTTCTGCAAACACGTAAGCTATAAAGACCTTTCACTTTCTATGACTATCCCTGAAGGATAGGCTTAAAATGCCTACAGCCAGCTCCCCCTTTTGCCTACCCATCCAGACTCACCTGGTTTGGCTGAGACCATGGAGGTAGGTGGTCAGAGCAGGAGCCATGATGACCAGGTTGGAGGCAAAGAAGGTGATATTATTAGTCTTCTTGAAGTCCAACTACAGTCTTTATCCATGAATGGGAATTTGCCCCCTTTTCTCCTGTTTCCTACATGCTTATTATAATTTGAATCAAGAGCATATCACATAATTTAAATAAGTAGAATGGGAATGCCCTACACATGTGAATGATGGTCTCTGCATCTCTGTATCAGTGGAAGGTAACGCGGTGGTCCTATACATATGTGCTGAATAGAAATGAAATTCAGGCCGGGTGCAGTGGCTCATGCCTATAGTCCTAGTATTCTGGGAGGCCGAGGCAGGAGGATCGCTCAAGGTCAGGAGTTTAAAACCAGCCTGAGCAAGAGCGAGACCTTGTCTCCACTAAAAATAGAAAGAAATTAAGTGGCCAACTAAAAACATATATAGAAAAAATTAGCTGGGCGTGGTGGCGCATGCCTGTAGTCCCAGCTACTCGGGAGGCTGAGGCAGAAGGATCGCTTGAGCCCAGGAGTTTGAGGTTGTTGTGAGCTAGGCTGACACCACGGCACTCTAGCCCAGGCAACAGAGTGAGACTCTGTAAAAAAAAAAAAAAAAAAAAGAAATGAAATTCATTTTATATATATACACACACAAACATACAAATACACAAACACCCCAACAAAGGAATTTCTTGGACACCTCTGACATCAATCCAATTTTCATAATCCCTACTCCTCTGGGACTGAAATCCCTTGGTAAAAACTTGAGTCTTGGCTGGGCTTGGTGGCTCACGCCTATAATCCTAGCACTCTGGGAGGGCAAGGTGGGCGGATGGCTCGAGGTCAGGAGTTTGAAACCAGCCTGAGCAAGAGCGAGACCCCGTCTCTACTATACGTAGAAATAAATTAATCGGTCAACTAGTATATATAGAAAAAATTAGCCGGGCATGGTGGCACATGCCTGTAGTCCCAGCTACTTGGGAGGCTGAGGCAGGAGGATTGCTTGAGCCGAGGAGTTTGAGGTTGCCGTGATCTGGGCTGACGCCACGGCACTCATTCTACCCTGGGCATCAAAGCGAGACTCTGTCTCAAAAAAAACAAAAACGAAAACAAAAAAAAACTTGAGTCTTCTACTTTCTGTCTTTCTCCTTCTCCAATTCATGGAGGGAAGAGCCATATGGTTTGAAATAAAAAGGGGACTAGATCCTGGTTATTGGCAGCAACACCACCCAGGCTGCCTAGAACTCCCTCTTTTTCACAGTGTTCTACTTGTTTGCCCTTCCTGTTTTCCTTACCTCCAAGATATCCACTTTCACACAATTCTTTTCTGATTGGCTTAGGAAGCATTTCCCCTGAAAATGTGTGGAGGATCATGGAAAAGAAGACGAACCACAGAGAAAAGTGGGTCCATTCAGGCTTCATGGTGTTGCAGACAGCAAATAGAAGAGTCCTGGGCCAGGCTGAAGCTGTATCTTAGGGGTGGAACACCTTCTCTTTTGAGCAGTTGAACCCATATCTCTGATTTTATCTCTGCAGGACCCAGTCCTGGGCAGGGTTCTGGTGCGTCCAGAATCAGTCTAGTGAGCAGAACAGTAAATTCTTGGGTACCCAGCCATGTAGCTTGAAAGACCATGTTTTTTCCGAGCCCTAGTAATGAACCTCAGCCTCCCCTCTTTCCTCCACAATTAGGGATCATGACCACTTATAGCTCAGGACATCAGCATCTCTATAATGAACATTTGTAAATAAATGCTTATTAATGCTTTAATATATAATATGAAAATTTGAAAGTAAAGTAAGCCTTGAACTAAGAAACTGGAACAAAAACAGCAAAATAAATCAAAAGAAAGTGGGCAGAAGATAGCTGATGAAGATAGTAGTTAAAATTAATGAATTCAGTGGACATATAGGAATAACATTTATTGGGTGTTGGGCAGGTGGGAGGGGGGAGGAGGGAGGAGGGGACGGGTATATACATACATAATGAGCAAGATGTGCACCGTTTGGGGGATGGTCACGCTTGAAGTTCTGACTTGAGGGGGGAAGGGGGACAAGGGCCATATATGTAACCTTAACATTTGTACCCCCATAATATGCTGAAATTAAAAAAAAAAGAAACACTAAAATTGCCAAATAAAATTAAAAGTTTGTACTTTAAAAACACCACTAAAATAGACAAAACCCTGCTGAGAATGGCTGAGAAAAACATAAGAAATAAACATCTTCAATAATAGAAGTGTAAAAAGGATAGAACTCAAACATGGAGGAGATGAAAAATTTACTAGGAAATAGTCTTCTTGCTGATTTTAGGGGGAAATTTTTCAGTTTTCCACCACTAAGTATTATGTTATCTGTGTGCTTTTCATAGATGTCCTTTTTAGGTTGAGGAAGTTCCTTTCTATTCCTAGTTTGACAAGTGTTTTTATCATAAAAGGGTGATAGATTTTTTTGTCAAATGCTTTTTCTCTGTCTATTGAGGTGATTGTGTTGGTCATGTCCTTTGTTATATGAACGTGGTGCATTACATTGATCTATGCATGTTCAGATAACCTTGGATTCTTGGGATAAATTCTACTGAATGGTGTATAATATTTTTTGTCTGTTGTTGAACTTTTTTTTTTCTTGAGACAGAGTCTCATTCTGTTGCCTGGTGTAGTGTGCCATGGCGTCATCATAGCTCACTGCAATCTCAAACTCCTGGGTTCAAGCGATCCTCCTGCCTCAGCCTCCAGAGTAGCTGGGACTACAGGCTCATGCCACCACGCCCAGCTAATTTTTTCTATTTTTAGTAGAGACGGGGTCTCACTCTTGCTCAGGCTGGTCTTGAACTCCTGACCTCAAGTGTTCCTCCCACCTTGGCCTCCCAGAGTGCTAGGAGTACAGGTGTGAGCCACCATGCCCAGCCTCTGCCCCTTCTTTACATAGCCCACTCTTACGTGTCTTCTCTTCTGTCTGCTATAAGGACAATTGTTATTAGATTTAGGATATAATTCTAATGATCTCATCTTGAGATCCTTAACTTTATTAAATCTACAAAGCCCCCTTTCCAAACAAGATCATATTATGAGTTCTGGGGATGATGACACGGACTTTTTTTTTTTTTTCTGGTGGTCACCATTCAGCCTATTACACTTCATGATTTCTTCTTAGACTTTTTTTCCCCCGGGACTTATTAGTTATTGTTAATCAACCAAAAAATTTCACAAAAAAAGAAGAGAGCAAAGTAAAAGATCAGATGTAAAATGTATTTTAAAATTTGAGGCTGGGCACAGTGGCTCATGCCTGTAATACTAGAACTTTAGAAGGCTGAGTCAGGAGGCTTGCTTTGGCCCAGGAGTTTGAGGTTCCAGGCAGGGAGTTATGATTGGGTGATTGCATTCTAGCCTGGGTAACAGAGTGAGATGCTGTCTTAAACAAACAAACAAACAAACAAACGAACAAACAAAAAATTGAGCTACAGGCACAAGAAAACATCCCTAACATCACTTATATCACTGTAGTTCACAAAAGTAATTTCATATATAATTTCTTTTTCTTTTTTTTTTTGAGACAGAGTCTCACTCTGTTGCCCAGGTAGAGTGCCGTGGCATCAGCCTAGCTCACAGCAACCTCAAACTCCTGGGCTCAAGCGATCCTCCTGCCTCAGCCTCCCAAGTAGCTGGGACTACAGGCATGCGCCACCATGCCCGGCTAATTTTTTCTATATATATTAGTTGGCCAATTAATTTCTTTCTATTTATAGTAGAGACGGGGGTCTTGCTCTTGCTCAGGCTGGTTTCAAACTCCTGACCTCAAGCGATCCGCCCACCTTGCCCTCCCAGAGTGCTAGGATTATAGGCGTGAGCCACCTCCCACGGCCTGAATTTTCTTTTTTTTTTTTAGACAGAGTCTCACTTTGTTGTCCAGGCTAGAGTGAGTGCCGTGGCGTCAGCCTGGCTCACAGCAACCTCAAACTCCTGGGCTCAAGCGATCCTCCTGCCTCAGCCTCCCGAGTAGCTGGGACTACAGGCATGCGCCACCATGCCCGGCTAATTTTTTATATATATATCAGTTGGCCAATTAATTTCTTTCTATTTATAGTAGAGACGGGGTCTCGCTCTTGCTCAGGCTGGTATTGAACTCCTGACCTTGAGCAATCCGCCCGCCTCGGCCTCCCAAGAGCTAGGATTACAGGCGTGAGCCACAGCGCCCGGCCTGAATTTTCTTTTTTTGAGACAGGGTCTCATTTTGTTGCCTGGGCTAGCGTGCCATCGCATCCTAGCTCACAGCAACGTCAAACTCCTAGATTTAAGTGATCCTCCTGCCTCAGCCTCTCAAGTAGCTGGGACTACGGGTGAGCACCACCATGCCTAGCTATTTTTTTCTATATATTTTTAGTTGGCCAATTAATTTCTTTCTATTTTTAGTAGAGATGGGGTCTCACTCTTGCTCAGGCTGGTCTCAAACTCCTGAGCTCAAATGATCCTTCTGCTTCGGCCTCCCAGAGTGCTAGGGTTACAGGCATGAGCCACCATGCCCAGCCAATTTCAGATACATTTTGAAAAAGCAATATAGCTGTCTGTGCATGTTTTACTCATAAAATAGCTTTCGTTTTTTCCCTTTGGGAGGAATACCAACACTTCCACCATACATGTCAGAATAAGGAAAATAAATATTTCCCACATTGTTATAGTACAACCTGCTTTTGGATCATGCAGTCTCTCCTCCAAAGCGAGGGAAATATCTGTCACAACGCAAACTGCATAGGGTGCTATGTGTTTTCTACAGAAAAACCTCACTTTCTTTGGAGAATATGTACTGGGGGAAAGAACTACTGAAATTCATAAGGTACTATGGAATAATGGGTTGAGGTATTGTAAGTTTCTAGAAACTCTATCACAACTTTGCATCACAGTTTAGGGTGAGAGGTTAAGTAGGGCATAAAATAAATGAATCTGGGTCGAAATGATCTTATGTAAGTCCAGCTAGTCTTCAAACTCTTGATTATATCCACAGCCATTATGCATTAAGAATGTCAAAGGCAATTGGTAGAATTCTTGGCATTGACATTTGACATTAGAAATAAGGATAGTAAGGGGGAATGAAAGTCCATGTGAAGGTGACTATAGTGCCTCTCCTCACTCTGTCAAAATAAGAAATGCAAAGCAATATTACATTTCTGGGAAATTACCAAGATTACCATCAAAAACATGAAAGATCTCAATGTGGGGAATATCGGCCAGTATTAGTTTAGTGAGTTTTGTATGCAATTCAGCAATACTTCCATCAAGCAACGTAAAAGGGAAGGGGCTCCTGTTGAATTGGGAGCTAAGAGTGACACCTGTTTATGTGGCTAGGAAAGCAGACAAAAAATGGGCTGCAGCATTGCCTACAGTGATCGACCCTGACTATCAAGGGAAATCAGGGTTAATGTGTCACCATAGGGAAGGTGAAGGTTACAGATGGGTTCCTAGAGCACTTAGTTGTACCACCATATTCAGTAGTAAAGTTTAATAGCAGATAGAATACCTGAAATAGAGAAACTTGAAGTAGCTAGTCCAGTCTATCTTTTATTCTCAGGAATGAGGGTTTGATTCACTCCAGGGTGAAAACGCCAGCTTATATGGGATCCTGGTTGAAGGCTGGGAACTATGGTATACAATGAAAGAGGGCTGGCATAAAGACCAGCTGTAGCCTTATACTGAATAGCACAAATAAAGCTACCTATTTTTCCTTGCTTGTTGTGTTATAAAATTGTGGGGGGATAAGGGAAGGGGAATTTCAGGGTACCAAAGGGTACCAAAGTCTGTTGCTTTTAGCCTCAGATGACACCTTGCATAACCAGACTTCTGGGCATCAGCAGCTAGTCTCACCTTTCTCAGGGGCATTCATTCCTTCTGTAAAACAAACCCATGGATTGTCCTTGTGACCCTGGTGTTATCTCCTCCTGTTTGACAAAGGAACAGTACATCAGCAGCTAATAATTGGGAGAATGAGGGGTGCTGGGCAGGAAGCTAGTGATTAACACGTGCAAATAAACAAGGATCTAGTCAAACTTTACATTATTTCAGTCATTCAAAAGTGTTAGGGTACTAAAATCTCAAGGGGCCTGGCTACAACAGCAAAGTTTAGTTCAGTTGTAGAAATTGAAGTTACATTTCAGCATATCTGGGTTTTAGCTCTGATACTGTTCCACTTTATTAATACAGTCAATACACGATTACCAAACACACCTCCATGCCATACTTTGTGCTGAGTTCTGGGTGTAAGGAACTAAATAGGATATGGTTCATGCTTTTATGTTTTCATAGTAAGTTTATGTAGAAGTATTTAAACTTGACCCAACACATGAGGAGTAGAATCTAAATCCTTGATATTTATTTCTCTTTGGTGGGTGTTGTTTGACCAGTTGAGAAAGAATCTGGTCTGGAAGTGTCGTGCTCTGTGGTTCCAACAGAGTCAGCATTTCTTTCTCCTGGTATAGCTACTTGGAAGGCTGAAGTTGGGGTTATCTCTTGAACCCAGTAGTTTGAATGCAGCCTGGGCAGCAGAGATTCTGTCTCTAAAATAAATAAAATGAAGAGAGAGAGAGAGAGAGAGAGAGAGAGAAGCTTGGGTCATGCCAGAACTGAGTGGGAGGGGATCTAGGCTATGTTGAGTTGAATAAAATATGTCTCAGAATATTGGATACCTGGGATTTTGCATGAAGTGCCTCTCTACGGTCCTGTGTCAATATGGCAGTGAGTGTCCGGAACTGCATGCCTCTACGGGCAGAAAGTGAGATGTTCCATCTCAATGGAAAGCACAGAATGCAAAACTTTAGATGAAAGAGATGTGAGGCAGAAACCACGAAGGTCATTAACTTTCCTTTATTTATTTATTTTTTGCAATTGCATTTTCTGCTCTGTCTGGTAGAAAACCAATAATTGAAGGTTCTTGAGAAATGCTCGAGGCAGCCATGTACCCAGTAACATTCCATTGGAGAGAAGAAGGGGTCTGTACTGGACCAAGCAGTTTCACTGTGGGCATATTTCACTCCTGGTTATGCTGCTTTTTGCAGAGTTGCCTCAGCTTCCTTCACTGCTACTTATGACCTCAATGGTAATTCTTATGTGTTGGGAAAATATGATTGAGGAATTAATGAATTGTGCCTCATAAGATCATTATTTTATTGTATAACCCAATATTACTATATTAAAGACAGAAACAGGAATTTGCAGGGTTTTGCCTTTTGCAGGGTTCCTTGCCCTGAAGGAATGTGTGGACTCAATGGTTCACTTATTAGAGGCTGCTATCATGGGAGAGTTCTCAAATCTCTGGTAGGGATGTTTTCCAGGAAGGCTTCCCAGTATCTCAAAATCTGTGAGCTTCCCTGTGTCTTGAAAGACAAGACAAATACGGCCCACAGGATGGGAGCCGGAGACAATCAGTGCACTTTGCCCAGAGATGCGCACTGGTGGTTATAAGCAACCTGTTTTATTAGAGATGGGTTTCCTGCTCTCTCTAGTCTATCCACCTTTAAGTCCACCATAACTAATCAAAGATATAGAGTCACTATGCCTCTTTTGTTTTACCTCTGTTAATTGACAACTACCTCTTAAAACTTAGAAGCTAGCCCCTGAAAGACTTTGTACCTGTTTGTTCACCTAGATATAGTAGAAGCCCCTTGAGAGGACTTTTGACCTAACCCACTACCTGTATCTCCTAGCAACTGCATTCCCTGATATGCAAATATGTTACCCTGACAACTGGTATTTGATGTTTGTGATTATAAAAACCTGTATAAATCTAACCATATTGCTGGGGTTTATGGAGATATGCCAGTCTCCTAGGTACTCCCTGCTGTGTTATATTTTATATATATATATATAACTATAAACTATACCTTAGTCTCTGCGTATTCTTATATTTTTCTCTATTGCCTATCAATTTCCTTATCCTCTGTGGAGACCCCTATCTTAGGGACTTGGCTCTGTGGGGAGAAGTAGCTAATCTCCTCACGGGCCTGCCTCAAATGCTCGCACTTATGCACCTGATAACATGGGAAAAGGTATTTTTAAAAATAATCTAAAGTGAATGAGCCCAACTATAAAGGGGGATATGGTTAATGCTCCACTGAAGAAGCTCTGAAGTCCTAGGACATCCTCTGGTGGCAAAATTTCATGGAAGTTAGAAAGCATGAAATCCTGCAAGATAGAAAGACTAAAAAACTACCCAGAAAGTCTCACCATGAGCTCATATTTCTTCTGTCTAGGTTGTTGATTTCAGTTTCCCAGTGTGTAAAGAACCCAGCTCGACAGAAGCTCTGGCCAAAGATGGCGGATGTGGAATTTTCATTGAGGGAGAGATGTTATTAAAACCAGCTACAAGCCTAATAAGAAATAGCACAAATATGCTACCTATTTTTCCTTGCTTATTAAATGAAATTCCCTCTTTTTCATTTTACATGCCATTTTATTTAAGATATGTTGGTTGATGCTGCAACTTGCCATTTGATACACTGCAGAATTTCCTCGCTCATTTTATGTAAGTGCGAGGTTTGTTGGTATGTTTGATTTCAAGACCAAAAGGGAGCACAGGTTTGGTACTTTGGTTCCACTAACCAGCCTGACTGGACAAAAAAGGTGATACAAACTTGTGCAGGTTCAGCTTGTCAAACTGGGAACAGTTTATGTTAAGTTACACTAAGTGTACATATATGAGGAATGGCGCAGGAGTGAGGGGGAGACTAGTAGATGAGACCAGTGACATTTAAGCTCTGAAGGTAATAAGGAAAGAGGAGAAAAATTCAGAGGAGCCAGGGCTGACACAAAGCCTCTTTTATTTTAAGGGTCATACAGGTATGTTCTAGGAAAAACAAAACTAGGACCAGGAAAATAGTAAACTGATGGAAGTTTCAAAGATTATGGAAATATCACAAAGTTCTAAAAATTGGTCTGAATTTTCTTGCATCTTTATTTCAGATAGTGCATCAAGCAATTCCTTGAGTTCGTGTCCTCTCAGGTGTCCCTGTTTAAGAAAAAAAAAAATCCAGATCTGTGTTACAAGTTTTGGAACGTCTCTCTGGATTAATGTAAGTCATTTTTTTTTTTTTGAGTCTACCAAGTCATTTATTTATTTATTATTATTATTATTGCAAAATATTACAGGGGTACAAATGCTTTTGGTTCCATGGGTCGCTTTTGTAATGCTCGATTCAGGGTTATGAGTGTGCCCATCACCCAAGCAGCGTCCACTGTACCCGTTAGGTAGGTTTTCACCCATCCCCTCCTCCCTCTTTCCCCTGTTGGTTTCCACTGAGTTTTACTTCCCTCTGTGCACATGTGTGCTTGTCAGTTAGTTCCAATTTAACAGTGAGTATATGTGGTGTTTGTTTTCCTTTCATTTTTATCTCAGGGGAAGCCCAGAGGATGCCTTCTCTTTGAATGTTTCCCCTGTTCCTTCGATTTCTCTCTCACTGTTTCATTTACTCAGAACTTAGTCATGGCCTTTTATGTGCCAGGCACTGCAAAGATTCCAGGACTGTAATTGGCAAAATGAAAGTTCTGCTTTTGAGTTACTCCCAGGGCCACTCTCCATCTCGCTCTCCTGGGAATCCGCCAAACCACAGCATTGTTAGGTTCCATCTACCTTCTAGTTCCAGTGGCTGGGAAATGGCTCGGTATGGGCGAGGAGCTTAGTTGTACAAAACAGCATGCTGCTCTGGAGAGCCTGAAGGTCTGGGAGTGCAAGGATTTGGTTTGGGTGATCATGTGCACATAAGATGATCAAGACCTGGGTGGTTGTCAGATCTGGTTGCAAACCTTGCCATGCCATTGGATAATGTGACCTTGGAGTGGTTGATTGCCTCTACTGTGCTTGGTTTCTCCATCTGTCACATGAAAATAGTGACACACTATTAGTCTAATAGTCACTAATAGTGACATCTACCTTGGGATGATTTTAATTTTAAATTATATCAGTATATGTTGATTGCTTAGTGCAATGCTGGGCACATGGTAATTGTTCAATAGATGGTGGTTATTATTTTCTTTCTGGACTTTTGATCTCCTAACTGCAAAATGAGTGAGTGATCCTGAGAGCCAACCCAACTGCCAAACTTTTAAATTAGAACAATCCCCCTTCTTCCCACCCTAAACCAGGGTTATCCCCTCATCAGTTTTCTCTATCTTGGGATCTCAGAGCCTCTTCTTTTCCAACCCCAAAGGACCAAGGATAGGATTAGATGTCTTACGGTAGTTTGTATTCTTTAACACAGGCTATTTGACATTCTATTTGAAGCTTGTAGTTGTTAAGGTTGCCATCGCAGCCAGAGAAGATAAAACTTTGACATTTTTGGGATGTTTTGTTGTAGAAGTATCTAGTGTGAACTTCGTAGCAGCTGCCAGCATCCATATCCATAATACAGGGATCTGCAGGAGAAGTTCCCATTGAGTTAGGGGGACTTGGTTAGAACACAACAGATTGCTTGTCTTTATGGATTGTTAAAAATTCCTCATTTTGCCTGGCGTCAAGGCTCATGCCTGTAATCCTAGCACTCTGGGAGGCCGAGTCGGGAGGATCGCTCAAGGTCAGGAGTTTGAGACCAGCCTGAGCAAGAGCGAGACCCTGTCTCTACTAAAAATAGAAAGAAATTATCTGGACAACTGCAAAAGTATATATACAAAAAAATTAGCCAGGCATGGTGGCGCATGCCTGTAGTCCCAGCTACTAGAAAGGCTTAGGCAGAAGGATCTCTTGAGCCCAGGAGTTTGAGGTTGCTGTGAGCTAGGCTGACGCTATGGCACTTTAGCCCAGGCAACAGAGCCAGACTCTGTCTCAAAAAAAAAAAAAAAAAAAAAAAAAATTCCTCATGTTAGCCCGGAATCATTCCCATAGTCAAGGTCACTGAAAGATACCTGGTTTTCTCTTGGAATTAGAGTTACTTGGCAAGGTTGCCCTTGCACGATGCAAATCGATTACCACTCCAGGTTGGATCTTGAGCAATGTCTGGAGAAGTAGTGAGCAGTGGAAAGGCGGGTTCCACCACTGGCTTGTGCAGGGTGATGAGGTACCCTACATCCCACATCTCACAATTTATCAAAGTGCAGTACCTTCCTGCTTCTCCACACTCTCATCTTTTTTTTTTTTTTTTTTTTTTGAGACAGAGTCTCGCTTTGTTGCCTAGGCTAGAGTGAGTGCTGTGGCGTCAGCCTAGCTCACAGCAACCTCAAACTCCTGGGCTCGAGCGATCCTTCTGTCTCAACCTCCCAAGTAGCTGGGACTATAGGCATGCGCCACCATGCCCGGCTAATTTTTTCTATATATATTAGTTGGCCAATTAGTTTCTTTCTATTTATAGTAGAGACGGGGTCTTGCTCTTGCTCAGGCTGGTTTCGAACTCCCGACCTCGAGCAATCCACCCGCCTCGGCCTCCCAGAGAGCTAGGATTACAGGCGTGAGCCACCGCGCCCGGCCGGCACACTCTCATCTTTTTTTTTTTTTTTTTTTTTTTTTTAGATTCCATGTCTAAGCTTAAACTCTCATCTTTTAATTGCCCACTTAGGACTTACATTCAGAATGCTCACACCCTACTTTTTATACACTCACTGTACTATTTACAGCTCAAAATTCATGTAACTGCCTGCTGCTGTCCTCCAAACAGGATGCATACGATGCACACCAATTTCATAACCCTGGATGGGGTAATGCCAGTTCATCCTTACTCCCTGTCATCTTTTCCCTTCTTGCTTTCCAAGAGGCAACCCCCCAGTTTTTATTGTTAAGAGTTTGGTAGTAGCCCGGCGTGGTGGCTCACGCCTGTAATTCTAGCACTCTGGGAGGCCGAGGTGGGTGGATCGTTTGAGCTCAGGAGTTTGAGACCAGCCTGAGCAAGAGCGAGACCCCGTCTCTACTAAAAATAGAAAGAAATTAATTTGCCAACTAGAAATAAATAGAAAAAATTAGCCAGGCATGGTGGCACTTGCCTGTAGTCCCAGCTACTCAGGAGGCTGAGGCAGCAGGATGGCTTGAGCCCAGGAGTTTGAGGTTGCTATGAGCTAGGCTGATGCCATGGCACTCTAGCCAGGGCAAAAAACCAAACAAAATAAAAGATTTGGTAGTAAGTGGGGGTTGGAACAGCCACAATTATGATTGTATTGGCAACTCAGCAATTATTATACACCCTACTCAAGCAGCCAGGCTGGAATTGATTTTCTGGTAAAACTATTTAGGCAAAGTCACAGGTATAGTTTTATTTCATATTCACAAACACTCTTAGTAGCAGGCACTTTTCTGATCTTCATTTTACACATGGGAAAACTGAGGCTAAGTGAATGATAAGTGGTTGAATGACTTGTCCAAGGTCACACATCTGTTAAATAACAGGGCCAGAATTTGGAGTATCTGCCTCCTGGTGTAGACTCTGCCACTTTCTCCTCTTCTGGATGCTGAGTCTACACTCTATCTATAGAAGAAAATCTCACTGCCTTCCACATTTTCATTGTGAGCTCCTATAAGCAGGAATCTTGGGTTCAAGTGTTCTCTATGTGCCAGAGTCCAGATATTGAAAATACTTCATTTTGCTCAATCTCCCACCCCCTTTCTGTCTCATCCCAATACATACTCTTGAATGGTCTTAGGTCTTTGAAATTTGTCACAAAACCCCTAATTCAAAATACTTCTAGTCCTTTGGACCTCCTGTAAAAGAGCTCTCTATCTGGAAATGACATATTGGCATCATATCTGTTTTTTTTTCTTGTCAAATATTCATAGAACCCTTTGTGTAAGTAATGCCCTAAGTCAAGGGATGAAGAAGGACCTTCCTGGACCACCTAGATAGCACATTATTTTCTAGCATCTTCTCCCTCATTCATAATTGATCACTGGATTTATTTTCTGTCTTAACTTCATACCTTTGAAATCTTTGCATAGCTTTTCAGTAAGTGTCTTAACGCCGCCCAATAACGGGGTAGTCAGTGAGTAGAAGATGAAGGACGCTAGAAGAAATTTCAGCTCAGCAGTCTTCATGGTGCAGCAAGGAGCAGGCAGGATAGTCTTGGTATCAACTGATGTTATATTTTGTGTTTGATGCTTGAGAGGATTGAGCCCACCTACCCCAAGGGCCAAGACTGGCCATGACTAGGTGTTGAGTTGAACATCGAGTGCTTGGGTACCCAGCCATGAAGCTGAAGGTCCCACACTGATTAGACCCCTGATAGTGAGTCCCATGTTCATCTAGAAACCATAGAAACTTAAGGATCAGAGCTTCTGCATATGTTTAAGCACAGAGGGTTTAGCCATCAGAGCGAAGAATTAAAAAAGGATTACTTCCTTTCCCTTCTTTGCCCTTTGATAGCAGAGAAGAAACTGAGCTTGGCACACTAGAAAGAATGTAATAAGCACAGCACTAATAGTAATAGGGTTAGCAATTTGTATATGCTAAATCATTTAATTATATGTTCTTCATGAAGGTATAATTATTATTGTCATTTACAGATGAAGAAACTGAGGCAAAAGTTATATGTCCAAGGTCATTCATTTATAATATTATGTGGTGGAGACAAGATTTGAACTTGGCTTCACAGTATATGTTCTTAATTACACTATGTTATACTATCTATGAACGTGGGGATACCTTGGCTCTGTTTTGCTTTAAAGGTTTTGAAATTTTGGCCCACATTTACATCCTAAAACAACCTGATGTGGTTTTTTTTTTGGTAAGGTATAAAATAAGGGTCCTTTTTCATTTTTCTTTTCTTTTTTTGGAAACAGGGTCTCGCCTCACTCTGTCACCCAGGGTAGAGTGTAGTGGTGTGATCATACTCATCATAACCTTGAACTCCTGGGCTCAAGTGATCCTCCCTCCTCAGCCACTGGAGTAACTAGGACTGCAGGTGCATGCCACCAAGCCTGGATAATTTTGTTTTTCATAGTTTTAGAGATAGGGTTTTTCTATGTTGCCCAAGCTGGTCTTGAACTCCTGGCCTCAAATAATCCTTGTGCTTTGGCCTCCCAAAGTGCTAGGATTTTAGGCATGAGTTACCGTGTCTGGCCCCCTTTTCATTTTTCAATAGTCCCAGACCTATTTATTAATAAATTCCTCTTTTATTCAATCATAAAGTAGCTTTGCTTATATATGTGGGATTGTTTCTGAGCTCTTTATATCACTCCACTGGATATCCTGCTCCAAAGTCACACTTAATCTCTTGAACTTTGTATTATTTTAGGATTTTATATTTTCATATAAATTTTAGATTCAGCTTGTCAAGTTCTTCAGAAGACCTATTTTGGATATTGATTTGAATTGCATTGTATCTACAGATCAGTTTAAGAAAAATGACATCCTCATAATATTGTTTTTGTTATATAGTTTTCCATCTATTTTGATCTTCATTAATATCTTTCAAGAAAAGTTTATATTTCTCATGCAGGTATTAGAATATTATTTATATTTTTAATATTATTGTAAATTATATCTTAAAACATCATATTTCTTTGTGTTTTTTTCTGGTGTACAAAAATACAATATATATTATTTATTAATCTTATATCCAGCCACATTCCTATACTCTCTTGTTATTTCCAATAATTTGTATGTGGTTCCTTTTGCCTTTTATATAGGTAATTATCATCTTTGACTAATGATAGTCTTGTGCCTTCTTTTCCAATTATGAATGCTTTAAATTTATATTTTTTACTTATTGCTCTAGCTAGGATCTTTAGCACATTGTGGAATCAAAGCAGTGTGGTAGGCCGGGCGCGGTGGCTCACGCCTGTAATCCTAGCACTCTGGGAGGCTGAGGCGGGAGGATTGCTCGAGGTCAGGAGTTCGAAACCAGCCTGAGCAAGAGCAAGACCCTGACTCTACTATAAATAGAAAGAAATTAATTAGCCAACTAATATATATAGAAAAAATTAGCTGGGCATGGTGGTGCATGCCTGTAGTCCCAGCTACTCGGGAGGCTGAGGCAGAAGGATCGCTTGAGCCCAGGAGTTTGAGGTTGCTGTGAGCTAGGCTGACGCCACCACACTCACTCTAGCCTGTGCAACAAAGCGAGACTCTGTCTCAAAAAAAAAAAAAAAAAAAGTCATTGTTAAAAAAAAAAAATGATGTATACTTTAGGATTTTAATAGCTACACTTTATCTTGTTAAGGATATTCCTTTATATTCTCAGTGTGCTAAAATTTAAAAATATCATAAGTAGGCCTTGAATTTTATAAAAATATTTTTCTATATGTTGGGATAATCATATGGTTATCTTCTTTAATTTGATATTGGGTGAATTATATTTATAGATTTTTCTCATTTTTACTCTTGCATTTCTGGGACAAAGTTGCCTATGGTGTATAATATTTTTATATACTACTAAGTTTAGTTTGCTAATATGCTGTGTAAGACTTTTCCATATTATTTGTGAGTTTGATTGGCCAGTAATTTTCATTTGGTTGACCACTCAGACCATATTGGCCTCAAAAACTGAATTGAGAAATAGTCATTTCTAGTCTCTGGATGATTTTATGTAAGATTGAAATGGTTTATTCCTTGAAGATTTGATTGAACTTTTCTACAAATATGTGGATTTAGTGTTTTCTGCTTTGGGAGATTTTTACCATTTAGTAAACTTATTTAATGGTTTATTTTTCAGGCTTCTCATTCCTTCCTTTTTCAAATTTTATTTTATTATGGTAAAGGCACTTAACATGAGGTCTACCCTCTAATGTATTTTTAAGTGTATCATACATTGTCATTGACTATAGGTACAATGTTGTATATAGATCTCTGGAGCTCATTTATCTTGCTTGACTGAAAGTTTATGCCCATTGATTAGTATTTCCCTCCTTACCCCAGCCCCTGGCAACTACTATTCCACTGTTGATTCTATTTATTTGACTATTTTAGATACCTCATATAAGTGGAATCATGAAGTATTTATGTTTCTGTGATTGGCTTTTTTTCACTTAGTGCAATGCCCTCAAGGTTCATCCATGTTGTTGCATATTGCAGAATTTCCTTATTTTTAAAGGCTGAATAACATTCCATTGTATGAATATACCATATTTATAAGATGTATTCATATGCCTGTGTACATATAGATTGTTTTACATCTTGGCTATTGTTAATAGTGCTGCAACAAATATTGAAGTGCTAATATCTTGTTGAGATCCTGATTTCAATAATTTTGGATAAATATCCAGAAGTGTGATTACTTGATCATATGGTAGTTCTATTTTTAATTTTTAAAGGAATGTTCATACTGTTTTACATAGTGGCTAGAATATTTTGCATTCCCACAAACAGTATGAACGGGATCCCTTTTCTCTACATCCTCACCAACACTTATCGTTTGACTTTTTGATAATAGCACGTGTGATGTGATATCTTAAGTGGCTTTGATTTGCATCTCCCTGATGTTTCACAATGCTGAACATCTTGGCGTATCTCTGCTGGCCATTTGTATGTCTTCTTTGAAAAAAATATCAGGTCCTTTTCCCATTTTTTAATTGAGTTATTTGTTTTTTTGCTATTGAGTTGTAGGAGTTTCATATGTATTTTGTATATTAACCCTTTATCAACTATATCATCTATAAATATTTTCTCACATTCCATAAGTTGCATTTTCATTTTGTTGTTTGTTTCCTTTGTTGTACAGAAACTTTTTATTTTGATGTAGTCCCACTTGTTTGTTTGTTTATTTATTTATTTATTTATTTTTTTATGATTGCAAATTTTTTTTTTTTGAAACCATGAAATATATTTTTTTTTTATTTCAGCATATTATGGGGGTACAGATTTTAAGGTTTCAATAAATGCCCATTGTGTTTATTTATTTTTGAGACAGAGTCTTACTCTGTCGCCTGGGCCAGAGTGCGGTGCTGTCAGCCTAGCTCACAGCAACCTCAAACTCCTGAGCTCAAGAGATCCTCCTGTCTCAGCCTCCCAAGTAGCTGGGACTACAGGCACACAATTATTGGGCATGCCCGCCTAATTTTTTCTATTTTTAGCAGAGACAGGAGACAAGAGACATTCTTGCTCAGGCTGGTCTTGATATCCTGATCTCAAGCAATCCTCCTACCTTCACCTCCCAGAGTGCTAGGATTATAGGCGTGAGCTACTGCGCCTGGCCAATATTTTTTGTTTTTGGTTGTCAGTTTTGGTTCTAGAAATTTGTTCATTTCTTCTGATATCTACATTTGTTTTCATAAGGTTGTTAAAGATAAGATTTTTTTTTTTTTTGAGACAGAGTCGTATTTTGTTGCCCAGGCTAGAGTGAGTACCATGGCGTCAGCCTATCTCACAGCAACCTCAATCTCCTGGGTTCAAGCGATCCTGCTGCCTCAGCCTCCCGAGTAGCTGGGACTACAGGCATGCACCACCATGCCCGGCTAATTTTTTTGTATATATATTTTTAGTTGGTCAATTAATTTCTTTCTATTTTTAGTAGAGACGGGGTCTTGCTCAGGCTGGTTTCGAACTCTTTGACTTGAGCAATCTGCCCGCCTTAGCCTCCCAGAGTGCTAGGATTACAGGCATGAGCCACCACGCCTGGCCAAAGATAAGATTTTATGAGGTTTTGATATTTACATGATCTTTGATGCTGACCCTTTTCTTCCTTGGTATTATTTTTTTGGTGTGTCTTTCTTGTTTTTTCTTGAGTACTCATTTCAAAAAACAACTTCTAGTACAGTCTTCTGTATTGTATCTTTTCTATTTCAGTAATTTCTGCTCTTCTTCCTATTTTGTTTTTTTTCTGCTGTCTTTGGGTTTCATTTAGAAGGGGTGCAATTGGAAGAAAAGTAGACTTGTGGGACTGGGTGAAGGGAGAAACATTAGTCAATTTATTCTTCTGAATTCTTTTTTTTTTTTTTTGAGACAGAGTCTCACTTTGTTGCTCAGGCTAGAGTGCCACGGCATAAGCCTAGCTCACAGCAACCTCAATTTCCTGGACTTAAGCGATCCTACTGCCTCAGCCTCCCGAGTAGCTGGGATTACAGGCATGCGCCACCATGCCCGGCTAATTTTTTTTCTATATATATTTTTAGTTGGTCAATTAGTTTCT